AAGAACCCAACATGCAAGAAGAGAAAAGGGGGAAACCCATGTGATCCAGAAAATGCTCCTAATTATGCGCATGCCCTGACAGGTTAAATTTCCTCCTCCAGATCAGCTTCTCTTGAAGGTCCTGTGACATGTAAAATGACAGCTCCATGGGTCCCGCCCAAGCCACTGCCCCTTGGTATCAACTGTCCTAATGCTAGAACCTCTGTTTTGGAAAAAAAATTAATTAAAACCTACATATATCTGGACTTACAAAATAGGACTTAAGTTGGCCCTCATCTCAAAATGTTCAAATCAGAGAGGCAGGGGAAAATTTACCACCAATAACCTCCATTTGGTTAATTACAGAATACTATTGAAGGATAAGTAATCTTAAATTAGAAAGGGTGGCTTTAAACCTTAATGAAAAACAAATAAAAACACAACCCCCTCCCCATGCTCTAATTGTATCTGGGGTTTTTTGCACAATCATCAAGATTTCACTTGTAATCTCTCTTTGAGAATTTCCAGTCCAGCAGTGTCCACCACCGTTCAGCCCCTCTAGATTATTATTTCCTAATTTTATACAGCAAAAGAAAGTTCTGTCAGCAAAATTTTCACTGGTTTATTAGTTACTTTCAGCTAGAACTTCCCACCTTCGATAATTCACTTTCATCAACACACAAGAGTTCAATCACATCCATTCCTGAAAAAAATAGTCACTGCCTAAGAATACAAGTCACCTTTTTGCCTATATTCTCAAACACCTACTCCTACATCTACTCCTCCATATCCAAGCATATACAATCTAAGACAAGAGATGTGTAAGAAATTAGTAATGCTCCAAAAAAAAGTTTTCTTATGGGAAATCTGGTCTAAACACAACTCTAAACAAATTGACTTCCACTGCAAGCACTGTCCCCAAATAAATTTACTGCACCCTAGAATCAAGTACACTCAAGGCTGGAATGCCGTGCCAGTCGTATATTACTTCAACCTCAATAAATCTCTTTTTACTCTCCAAATCCTCGGCTGCTTTCTAAAATAGTTCACGAAAGAGCACCAACCTAATTAACAACAGCTTCCTCTGCAACTGTGGCCTTGATTTCACTTATTTACACATTAACTGGAGCCTCCTTTTGGCCAATCCAGTCTCTTCTCTGTACCATGCCGAGCCTTTTATCTGCCCTGGACAGCATTTTCTCCAGCAGATGAAGTAGATGCCGATTGATTTGCTGTCGAGCATGGTAAATTAATAGCAACAAATTGCTGAGGGCCCCTCTCACTGCTCCACCATGCTTCGGCAGTTTTGCTTTATTTGCTCCATGATGGGCAGCAGTCGGCCTCTTCAAGTCAATTTCTTCTTAACAACCTGCAATACCTTTCAATGGTGAAAATAGAGCTGTTCCTTGTAAGTCAGAAATCAATATCCTATTGCCCTTAGAAAATGCTAAACAAGCAGTATTGGCAACCCACTTGGTACTAGAGGGTATCAGATATAATGCAAATCCATACTGCTTCCCTCCCTGTAGTTATTACAGTTTGCTAAAAGGTTCCTAATGTCATTTATCATCATTTACCATCGACCAGAGAGGCTATGATTATGATATCCTGTCAGTTGGCAAGGCCCTTTCATTTCTATTCAATTAATATTTTAGCAGCACTCAAATGGTTGTGGCCCAAGTCTCATAATAAAATTTACATGGCTTGTAGTGAAACAGGAGTTCTCTTGCTCTGATTCGAAAAAAAATAATCATATACATACACTTATAGGTCGAATTTACATACCCATTGTTCCTAATCTACATCCAATATTCACTTTTTAAAGTGGTAACTGCCGCTGCCAGATTAAATCAAATTAAATCAGGGCAGTCTTCTTTAATTACAGCATTACGAGTGAAGGATGGGAACAAGCAGCACTTAGCAATGTTATCAACTGCATGCATCACCCTGTTCCGCCCACGGTCACTGACCCATTTAGAAGCCACACTGTATTTATAAAGAACAATCAGCAGAGGGAAGAAAAAAAAAAAAAAAGTAACAACTAAACCACGGGCCACCTGTCCCATCCAAAACAAAAAACAAAAAACCCCAACTTAGACAGAAATCCTTAAGGAATAAAGGCCAATGTTCTTTCATTTAAAAAAATTCCATTATGAAGATATCACAATGAAACGCGTGCCATTTCTAACCATGTCCCATTTGTCATCTTCACTTTCATGCTAGAACTTAAGACGGTGGCAAAGCATTAATTCACTTTATAGTCCAGAACACTCCACTTTAACCTTTCTGGGTTTTTTCCCAGCTTTATCTGCCTAGCTCTATCGATCCTACTAAAGATTATCAGAAATTATATTCATATTTTATGCTCTAACCCCATGTCATGTCACTGAGTTCCCCTTTAAAAAAAAAAAATCAACGAATTCTACCAGACTAATGCTATTTACTCAGTTACCAAAATTTAAATTAATTATGTTCTCAAACATAATTGTTAAAAATTGGCAACATTATGCAGGCTTAATTAAGATTAAATCCAATTTACTGAATGTACTTTAATTGGTACTAATTACATTAGCTTTCATTTCAGAATGACAAATTCCCCATAGGTTTCACTTTATAGTCCTCTAACAGAACCAGCACAGGGTGACTGACAGCGAGTATCATACAGAAAGGGGAGGGACCATAATACTGGACCCCCCCAGCCTGCTTGTCACTGCTCTGTGCTTCTGTCCTTTTATCAATTTGCTAAGTCACAGAGTCATGACTCCATCACAGCCATCATTTTCTGTTCCAATGAAAAATTTCTCTAAAAATAAATACTCTGGCAGGCAGCAGCCAAGAACAGAAGCATTAACCAAAAAATACACAAAGGTTTCAAATATCAGGGCCACCAATTACTAGGGTACTTCCAAGGACTTCGGGGACTCCTACTCTTGAACCCTTCAGAGACACAAATCTAATAAGTGAATAAGCCTAACCTGATCTTGAGAACTAGGCCCAATTATGCCGCAGGGCAACTTCCCTGCATTATTGCTGCTTTCCATTATGAGGGTATCCAGCAAGTGCATCTGGAAGAGAGGCCAAGAGGAACCAAGGCTGTCTGCCTACGAAAACAAATAAAGACAGATATGCCTCTGTGCTTAAGGGGGGAAAGAAAGAAAATATAATAAGTAGGTGGTTTGCAGGGCTGTCTGTATTTCATAATGTGATAAACTGCCCTCAGGATTCTTGATATGATTGAATTTAAAAGCAAGAGAAAAAAAGGGAAAATGTACTCCATTCTCAGTTTCAAATGGATGGCATTTGAGGCCAGCTGGACAAGAAGATGACAGAATTACAGAAGTATAAATTGTGTAAAATTAAGGGATCTCACATACCGCCCCCTGCCCCCTAAAAGAAATACATACAAGCTCTGTGTCTCTGAGAACTGTAAACAGTATAAAGAGACCTGGAAACTAAGTGGTTATGGTAAATAATAAGATACAGGAGAAGAAATAAAGGGACATTAATCATCTGGTCCAATCTTTAAAAGACACTAATTAGTATTGGGTGGTGGATGAAGACAAAAAAAAAAAGACATGTACAAGATCCAGACCTAAAATGACATGTATTGAGGATAATTAACAAACAATATCTCTCATGTAATTTATTCCTATAAGGTAGAACTAAGGGGAGCCCATCCATAAGTTTGATGGATTTTGTTTAAGCAGGAGGTATTTTACATTACTTATCTAAACAGAAATGGCAAGGATGCCAAAATAAGAATTTTAACATGCGGCCAATGATACTATAATGTTAATACTGACATAACCAAATAACACATGAAGTAAAAAAAGGATCTGAAATAAAGTCCTCAGTGTGACGACTCCTTTTTTTTGTTTTTCCAACTTTTTGTTTTCAAATACTGTCTATCTGATTGCTTTTACTGTCTAATTGTCATCTTTTAAAGATCTGAGTATGTTTCAGGTATGTGATAATTAACCACGTCCAAAAAGGAATCCATAAGTAGTAAGAGCCTAATAATATGTGATCATTTCATATTTTTTAAACTTAGAAGGTAATGACATCCACCATGAGTATAAATAAGAGATGAAAAGCACTAAGTTTTCCCTCATCTTTTCCCAGCAGGTAAACACATAAACACAACTATTCTGAAATGGTTGATAAGACAGATCTGAAGCACTTTCACTAGATGACTAAAAATAAATGCCTCCTAGAAGGATTATTATGGCCAAACAATATTTATACATATATGCTATTTTTCTTTCTAGGAAACTTAAACCAAACCATTTTATTCAGTCTCCTGCAAAAAAAAGTCTGGTTCAGTCATACCTCTCAACACTTTCTGACTAATCATTATCTTTTTTCTTTCTTTCTTTTTTTTTTTCCTTTGGGCTGAACTAACTGCTAGATTTCAAGACCCAAGACCCAGTGTTGAACCTTATCACATCCTCCTATCAGGCTCATGTATTCTGTACAAATTCTGGAAGGAACAGTTACAGTTCCTGGTAAAACCCAAGTAAGTAGCCTCAGGGGACCAGTACAAGGAATTTACATCAATTTCTTTTGTAGCTCCACAGATTTCATTTTGATCCTCCCAGCTCACCCTCTATCCATTCTTTCACACCAATCCAAGGGAAGCTCCACACAATTTACAATTTTACTTCTTAATATTTTCCAAAAAAAGCTTTCATAAGACAAGTTTGCAATGCCCAAAATACATAAATTCTTTCAAAAGAAAAAAACATTTTAAAACTTTAGCATCCTGCTTTTGAAAGTGTACAAAGTTTAATATGTATTCACTTTATATCACATTCTTAAATGATTAAAATGAGGATAATATGCAAAAAAGATGGGGAAACACACCTGAAAAAATAGCATTCTCTCCAGTACATGGTCTTGTAAAATACAGGTAGCCACAAAAGAATGCGCAGAATAAAACTGCAAAACGTACAATTTCCTTTCTAAAGTGCACAGTATTACTGACTGTCATATAAAATGCTTATAAAGAAATGATAGCTTACCTGCTTGTGCATTTCTATATTCAACCCATAGGACATCTCATAATACTGTCAAAGAAGGAAAAGCAATTAATCTCATGCTTTTCATCAAACAATTTCCCTAGTTTGTTCAAAGAGTCCCCAAGCAAACCTAAAAGCCTCACCTAAACCAAAATATCCATCCTATTAATGCTGCTACATCAGGAAGAACACTCTACCACTATCTTTAGCCTAATAAACTAGAAGCCACCTTAACACACAGAATCTAAGACAATGACTCACAAAACTAAGAAAATCAAGTTCAAACATAGCATTCTTAACATCTCCAGTGGTCTTTATACATCACAAGCAGATAACTCACGAAGGTCTGATGACAATTTGGTACCCTATGGACTCCAATTCCTAGGCACAGCGGGCAAATAAATAACAAAAACAATGTGTCTCATACAAATGCTGATGCTTTGACAAGAACTGTTCAAAAAGGTGATGCTACTTCAGAGTTCCGTTTCTCATTTTTGCATACTGTTCATGTTCATACATTCAAAGAAAAAAGGCTTGATAGGAAATGAATGAGTTACTCTGGAGCCTTTATGAACAAACATTAAGAATACACTTGGTAATACTTCTGAAAAAGCAGATCTGAATGTTTTAAACATATAGTATAACTGGCGTTACAGAAATTCTGGCAGAACAAATCAGTTAAACAGGAGACTACAACACTCCCCAAACCAATGTAACACTATAGAAATTGAAAACACAAATACACACACTAGGAACATACTGAGCGGAAGGAGGAGGAGGGAGGGAAAATTTGAAAAGATGTCTGGTGTCTTTTCTTACCCATCATTCTTTAAAAGAAATAAAATACATTAAAATTTTAACAGTTTACTGAAAAATTATCTGGTTAAAATTGTTTGGAGCAAGAGCAATAAAACAACAAAGAAAACCACTAACAAAAACATTTTGGCTGTGACTAAACAAAATGTCAATCAGGTTGTTGTTTTTTCAATCTGTAAAAACAAAGCACAGAAAAGTATACCCCACGCAGCTAAAGTTTTTGAAAATTCAAATCAAAGCTGGTTGTCAGAGGCAAGTTATAACATCCTGGAATTACAGGTTGCTAATGGTCACATTCTCACAACTTTAACTGCACTAGCACTGTGACTGTGCTCTATCCTGCAGCCTGTAGCAATCTGAACGTATTCTTGCTTTGGTAGCCCAAACTAACAGGCACTTTGAATCTGTGATACAGTTTTCTTACCATCACATAATGCCGCTGCATCTCTGTCTTCTCACTGGCAAGTTTCTCACATTCCAGCTTCAGGCTGTTCAAGAAATAAGGAAATCTAAGTACAACGCAGATCTTGACTTACATCTTTCAAATACACACTCCCTCCTCTAAATCATCACCTACAAAACCCCAAATCAACTATCTTAAATACCACCCTCATCACTGAAAAACAGGCAGGAGAGAAAAGGGTGAGTGGAACCAGCCTGGGCTTGCCCTTTCAACAAGGATCAAATGCGGGGTTTTTGTTTGTTTTAAGAAAAACCCCTCTAGCCCATTTAACTCCATAATCTCATCCAGAAATGAATATTCACTGAATTCACTTAAGAACGAGGAAATAAACATCAATAATGCCTACATCTCCAAACACTAATAAGTCCCCCAAACTGTCACAAGGGAGTTTTTTCCTTTAATGTTCCACGAAGAAATTAATAAAAATATGAATCAAGCATGTCTTGTGAACGATGTCTTATTTTTTTCCCTCCAAAACACATAGACAAGTTGAATACCACCACCCAGGGGCAAGGCGTGAATGGGGTTCAGTGCCTTGTTTTGGTTCCAGCATTTATGAAGTAAGAATTACACGTCATTGAAAATCCAGCGAAAGAAAAATATTTCAAAGGCACTCTATGGTCTAATGATTGTCTCTTAAAACGAAAACATCTTTTCAGCATAAAAGTAATGAAATCGCCTACTTGGCGACTTCCCACGGCTCTGGGCTCTTGGTATTTCAGCGGAAGGGCAGAAAGAAGTAAGAAGGAATCAAGCCCGCTGTAATTAATAAAGAACCAAGGAAGTCAAAAGGCCCCAGAACCTTCCCAACCTTCCATTCTCCTGGCCCCAATAAATCAATAGCGAAAGTTTGGCCTCAGCGTTTTCCAAGTCTCCCCAGTTTCGACTGCTCGGCCTTTTTTTTTTGTTTTTTAATTTACAGGAAAAGGACGAAACGCTTAATTTCTTTACACCTGCCTGAAGAAAAGAGGCCTTGACTTGCCCTTTCTGCCCACAAGGAAAGACGATAATACCTTTGTGGTGGCCAAAAAAAAAAAAAAAAAAAAAAAAAAAAGGAGGGGGGCTGTGTGTGTATGTGGGGGGAAGACAAGAGCTAAGCAAATAGCAGGATCAGCTAAAGTCAATATTGTTACCTGTGGTATTGAGCCTGTAAAAACTGAAACTCTTCCTTAATCCGATCACAGGACTCAGAAATCGTAAATTTAAAGGGTTGAGCAGGCTGATGCGGTGCCTAAAGAACAACAATAAAATATTTGATTAGCCCACAGCACAAGCGAGGCGGAGAGATGGAGAGAAAACCACGCGGCGCTTGGGGGAAGAGGAGGGGGGTCATGGCGCAGGCAGATTAACACTCTCCTCCCGCCCCCTCCGCCGGCCGCACAGCCCGGCGGAAGCCGCTTGCGGGCTAGCCCCGGGCCCCTGCGTCCCCGTGCCCGCCCCGGACCCCGCAAGTTCGAGACCCCGCTCCCCTCCCACGTCAACGGCGGGCGCCCAGGAGCCGGCGCGCCTCGCCCACTGTCTCCCCACCCGGAATCGAAACTGGCCCGTCGGGGGGACGCGCGCCATGGCGTCGGGCCGCGGACAGGTCGGGGGAAGGGGCACGGTTGGCCGGCTGGCTCGCTGATCCCCGGGGCCCGCGGCGCGAGGGGCCGGCGTCCCGCACTCAGGAGCCGCCGCCGGACCCGCCGCGCCGCCGCCGAGGGCGCCCTCCCCGCCCCGGCACGGAGTCGCGCCTCCTCCATCGCTCGCCACCCCTCCTCCAGGAGTCGCGGCGCGGGGACGACAAACGGCTCCGCGCGGCTTCCAGGGGCTTCAAAGACAACAATAAGAAAATGGCTACAACTCAATTGCTTCTCCGCACCCCCTCTCCGAAAGTGCCCCAGTGCCCGGGAAGAGTGGAGGCGGAGGAGTGGCGGGCGACTCCCCGAGCGGGGCGCGGGGTTCGGGCCGACCTCCACGCCCCTCCGGCCAAAGACACAACTCGGCGCGCAAAAGGCGACGCGGAGAATCCCCCGGCGCCGGGCGAGCCAGCGCCCCCGCCGCCTGCACTCACCGGGTGTCTGGTCTGCGGGTACATCTTGCTCAGGTCGCGAATCATCCAAACCGATTTACTTGGCTGCGCTGGGCAGAGGCGCGCGGCTCATTGGCTTTAATGGCCCCGAGAAGGAGGAGGCGAAGGCGGCGGTGGCGGAGGCGGCCGGCCGGGTCCGAGGTGCGGCTCGGGAGGTCCCGGCCCCCGCCGGGTCTCGCGTGACGCGGGCGGCAGAAACGCGCGACGGCGGCGGCGGCGGCGGCGGCGGCTGGGTGCGCGAAGCCGGGCCGCTCCGCATTCCCCGCGGGCGTCACTGGCCCGCCGCGGGCATTGTCCGGTGCGCGTCTCCCGCGGCAACGCTCCGACGTTCGCTCCGCCGAGGCGTGCCCGCCGAGCCCGGCGCCGCGGCCGCGCCGCTCACCCGGGCGGGGAGAGTGAGAGCTCCGCGCCCCAGCGCCCGCCGGCAGCGCCACCCGCTCGCTCGCTGGCTCGCTCGGCGTCCCACTCCAAACTTTTTTTATTTGCCTTTTAATTGGTTGTTATTCCTCCAAATGAATGATCTCTCTCTTCTTTCCTAAAAGCAAACACAAACTCCTTTGGTTCGGAAGAGGTCTCGGCGGTGCTTTTTGGTTTCTCTGGAGATTTTTTTTCACCTCACAGCAACGATCTTTTAAAAGGCACCTTTTAGCTTCTTTTACCACATTTCATTTCCTTATTTTCCTTCCTGTTTTCTCGTCTTTTTTTTAACCCCAAATTGAAGGGGATTATAAAAATAAAAGAGAGTGGAACGCTTGCGGCTTTTTTTTAAATTCTCCCTCTTTTCAAACTCTGCGAACAGCACCTCAAAATAATATACAAGTGTGTGAGAGAGGGGAAAGAAAGCAGCCAACAGCTCAAACACCCGCTCAGAACAGCTCTAACAACACGCTCTGTGTAGGTGACTTCTTTGACCAAATTTAGCAGCGGCTAATCATTAACATTCTGATACATATTCACAACCGTCCGTGGAGGGACCGCGGAGCATCCCGGGAGATGTAGTCCACCCCCGGCGACCGCGGCTGAGGATTCGGCCAGATTGACTACAATCACCGGCCGGCCACGCGACCGCTCCGGGGCGATCTTCAAGAGCCCCGCCCACCCCGGCGCAGTAGGCGTCTCCAACAACCAATCAGAGATGGCTGAACATTAATCGCCGTCTGTGTTACTGCCCATCATTTCATTGCTGACAAATGGCGAGCTAGCGGGGAGGAGCCGGCCAGGCTGGAACCCACGTGGGGGCCGGGCGTCGTCGGTGGCTCGGACCAATGAATGGAACAGGACGGGGTTAGCGGAGGCGGGGCGGAGATGGCCCGCCCAAGGCGGAGCTTCGCCTTGGCTGAAGTTCCTTAGCGCGAGCGTTCGAACCTGGGAAACATTTGTTCGGCTGTCAATCAAAGTAACGTGGGCATGGGAGCAGCGGTGACTACTGCTGCTGTTGATGCTGCCCTGGCTGCATCTCCAGAACTGGGTGTTGGTGGCG